GAGAATAGGCATGCTCCCACAGTCAGATTTGATGGGTTTAATATTTGTCAGGTTATTTTAATTCATCCTGCAGACTTCCAGCTATATATACTCTATAATAGTAAATTTTGGTTGACCCCGACCATGCTGTTTCATGGGGTGTCTGCAAGATTTCAGTCTCTTTGATAACCTGCTGCTGGTATTATTGGTATCTGGCAACAGATTGACCCCGATAAGGGTTCAGGAGATTTTGGCAAGACTGCATCGGTCACTTTGATAACCTGAGTGAGAATTCCCATGTCCAATATCCAAGAGACTGACATGGTAGCAATCTTTTTTTTTAATATTTAGTTACAGGGTAGATATCTAGAGATTTTAAGTAAAGCTGTTGACAAACCTGGTGACCTTTATTAGAATTGAAGATGAAGTGTAATAAGTAGTGTGAAATTGTGAAGTGAATAAAAAAAAATTAAATTCATATACATATGGTGAATGAATATTGAATTATGTTTCTCATTTCCCAGGGAGAGGCAAGTGCCCTCCCTGCGGACACCAGTGAACTCACAATTTACTCTATTAGAAATTATTGTTTTTAAAATGAAAACTTACTAGTATTACGATAAAAAGAATATTCTGATTTTCCATAATTCATCATAATACATCTAAGTTATCATTTGATAATGTACGCAGTTAGTGTATTAGAATTTCACTAAGACTTGTCTTTTTTTTATAACATTAAATTTTGTTTTATCTCAGACCTGACTTGGTACAGTATGAAAGACTTTCCAGATCTAATGCCATTTACAACCTCAACAATGCTTTTACTGTAGCTGAGGATAAATTAGGCCTTACTAGATTGCTAGATCCAGAAGGTATGCATACATACTTGTTCTGAATTCTGTTTTAGATGTGTGTTGATGTCATTTTACCAATATAAAAAGAATGAGTTGGAGCAAATTAACATTATATATATCCAAGACTTTGTGTCAAACCAAATACTGATTAGCAGCATTTGTTATTATATAAACATTTTAAATTAAGAGAAAAATATATAAGTCATAGAAATTATTTAATTTGTTCTTTCTGGTTTTCATTATAAATGTATTCAAAGTATTCAGAAAATATTCCATATTTACATTTCTACTTTCCAGAGTTAAATCTGTAGTTTTATAGTTTATTGATTTCTGTGATGCTTTTATTTGTAAATTATGAGTTTTTGAAAATTTGTTTAAGTCAGTTAGATCTCTTAAACTTTGATCTTAAGACCAATTTTTGTAATGTTTATTAAGAATGTGAAAGTTTTACAAATTATGCAAAATTTTAGATTTTTGGAAGTGACTGTTGTGGAAAATGTTTGGCTAGCATAAAACTGTTTTTATTAAATTCAGTTTGAGGTGAGAGGATGGAAATTAACACAACTTCTGATATGCTCGTTATATTAGGAAAACATGTAGTTTCAAAAAATCAATTAAAGACAAAAACGATGAAACCTCTATATCCTGAATGCTTTTGAAAAGTGGAGTTTTCTTCATCAATGGAAATTGTTTGTGCTTGGGTTATAGGGTTTCATATTTTTGTACCTATTTTGTAATATACAGGTTGTCCCAGAAATATGGAACCATAGAAAGAAATATACAATGTATTCTTAATTTAGGTAGGCTTGGCATTTCTTCCATAAAATGAAAGTTATTTTACCTACAGCTTTAAATAATATCTCATTTTAAAGGCAAAAGATAGGGCTTTACAGTGAGTATTCATATAAAACCCCCAGGCAAAAAAACATTTTTTTGAGAAAACTATTATGAATTATTTTGTGAAATTAAAAAAATCCCAGAAAGCAAGACATAAAAAATGAGATTTAACCCTCCCCCACTACCATAATAACCAACTGATTTTATTGGAGATTGATTTATTTTGAAGTTAGTCATTGGGTCTTTAAGAAAAAGGTATCATTTGTGAATTATATCTACAGACTTTCTTTAAGTTTCTGGTGTTAGAAGAGAAATTGGTTTTTTCAGACGAGTTTCAAATTTGAAGCCTTTTCACCCATCGGGTGCACTTAAGACTTGTAGATTTGAATTTGGCAGACAATGTTATATAAGAAAAATGTGGCCAACCTTTTGATCGGAGTCGGTAGATTAAATCTCCATATCTCTGGGACTATTCAAGTTTCATGTCATTAACAGCCATACACATACCAATTCTTGCTATACTGTGCTATTGGGTTATTTTCTTTCTTGAAATATGTACAACTGACATTAGAAATGTGTTTGTTTAACTTTAAGAATATAATGTCTATTTTCTCTGTGGGTCCAGACTTTTGGGACACCCTGTATATGTTTAGGTTGAAGAGATACACATAAAGAACATTTGGAATCTTAAATAAAGTATCATATTGCTGTTGGTTCCGTGATTTTAAATAGCAGTAATGTTGGCAGACATTTTCCAAAGATTTACACAGTGTAAGTCTTGAAAAGGTAAAAAAATGGAATAAAGTAGCTCTAACCCATATAAAACTGTTCATTATTTGTACCAGAAATAGTTGTTTGGTTTCTTATATTGGCAGTGGTACTTTGAAATAAAAGAAGTTTAAAAATGTTATGTGCAATTTAAGAACACAATTTAGTTTCTACACCTTTTAGTAGAAAATTATAACATCCTGTAAGAAAGCACAAATGTACAGTATATTTGTACTAAATGTGATGCTGGCTGCATTTCAATGATTGATAATGATTAATTGATATACGTATAGTTTATGTATGCATATTTAATATAAGAATATTAAACTTGTATGATGGTCTAGTTAAAGTATATACTGTTTTTAAAATGCATTTGGTTTATGTTGACATTAGTAAGTTACTGCAAAGTGTTTGTAAGTATTTCCTTGAAGAACGTAGAAACAACTGAATATTTACTGAAAGGGTAGATTTACTGGTTTAATTATTCAGTTTTATTTGTGGGCTGTGTTGTACTATTTAACTGGGCTGTATCAATCCTTTTTTGGAGATTTCTTACTAATTAATTTTGTTCAAATGTATATAACAGTAACATTATACTTAGATGAATATATGAAACAAATAGATAGTTGTAAAACAGATATATATTCATAAACAGTTAATGACAATCAGTTGCCCTTAAAACATTGGGACACAGTCTTTTCATGAGGTACTCAGTATCTATTACCAACTTCACTCATAGCAATACTAATATTGATAGTACAATAATCAGTATTGCTTATACAAAGTCATACTAATTTGATTATACATAATATGTAGTTTCTGTTGTATGAGTAGCAGCTGGTTGTGGAGTAACTTCTTTCTTCCTGCTTGTATCATGCTTTCCCTTGTTTTATTGATATAGTTTAGCTCTAAAAATATCTCATCTTTGAAACTGAGATTTTTGTGCCTTAAATTTGTTTATAATGATAAACTAGGAGAGCTTTTTGTTTGAAACTCCTACAATGTAACCCTCCTAGAAGTATCAATTGTAGATAATATATGCACTTGCAACTCACTACACTTCAACTGAATTGCAGCTAGAGGGTCAGGGCTTTTTCTATGACAGCTTTCATATTCCTCATTGACCAACTTCGAGCTTCAACATTTTCTACTTAGGGAACCTAATGATTAAGCAATAAAAATGTATGAAAATATGATTTCAATAAATAAATAAATATATATGTATCTATATACAGTAATTTGTACTGATTTTTAATAACTGTAATGTTGTAACATTGAATCAACATATGGTAGTGAAAGATGTACCTTGTGGGAGTTGTTGCTCCTAATATTCTGAAAAACAAAAATTATAATTTGAATTGAATTTTTTCAGAGTTTAGTTGAAGTTTTACTTGATGTATGGGAAAAGGCTTATAGTTTTTATATATATGTTACTGAGGTATTTTTTTTGTTCTTTTTTAACGCTTTAGATGTATTTGTTGATTGTCCGGATGAAAAATCCATCATCACTTACGTAGTCACCTTCTATCACTATTTCTCTAAAATGAAAGCAGAGACTGTACAAGGCAGACGCATTGGAAAGGTAAATAACCTTTTAGGGGTTTTTGAATTGATAAATTGATTTTCATCTTTGATAAGTGCTTACCAATATTGCATCATTTCAAACTTAACATACTAAGTACCATGAATAAAGTAAGCTGTTGTTTATTTTTTTACCATAGCTTTAAGCTACTTTGCTTGTAATTGAAAATGAATACAGTTTAACAATATATATGTATGTTTTTATAAAAGTGTGTGTGCTTGTATATATGTGTGTATATATAAACACATACTTTTAATTCTTTGTTTTTGTGTAATGATGAATTTTTTTGTGGTTTCCTTTGACAGGTTGTTGGAGAAGCCATGGAGAATGAGCGCATGATTAATCAGTATGAAACTCTGACTTCAGATCTTCTTCAATGGATTGAACAGACTATTGAAGCACTGTCAGATCGGCAGTTTGCTAACTCTCTAACTGGAGTCCAGCAACAACTCACTTCCTTTAATACCTACCGCACTGTGGAAAAGCCTCCAAAGTATGTGTTAAAAATGTGATTTTAATGTTTTGTGACATCTTTGTATACCTCACAAGCTACTTTATGTTGTGTTTGATATATTCACTTTTATATCATTTGCACAGTTTTGTTTTTGCTTGGAATGCTTATTGTTATGATTTTATTCAGAACTGCTGTATATTGTTTTGAGTTGACATATCCACTGTTATACCATCCTAAAATGTTTTTCCCAAGAGGCTAACTGTTTTTGTGACATAACTGTAATCTGGCATATTCATTATTATAGGCTTTTTATGATATTTCTTTCAGTTGCCACATTTTTTGTGATTTTTCATATCTTCTGTTATATACCGACTTTGTTTTCTTACTCAAACATCCATGTCTTGCATTGGCTTTTAATTATTCACAGTCATTAGCATGAAATTATTGTGATCTATCATATTCAAAGCATATTAAACGTTTTAAATTTTTAAAATCTTAGTCAATGGTGAATACTTACAAAGTACAAAAAAGTATGTTTCAAAGCACTCTGAATTGTGGATGTATGCCAATTAGAAAAGAGATCTCATTTTAGTAGTTAATTTAATCATATGTTAGCCCATGTTCAACAGAGCTTGTAGTTTTTCCTCTTGCCTTCATCAGTTTTTGACTTTTTTCACCAGGCAAATTACTAATTAAACTTTAGTAGCCTAGCTTTCATAGAATGTAAGTAATTAATCTTTTTCATTTAAAAGTTTCAGTAATATGGTGGGTACCACATGGTTGATTACATTCAGACATAGCATTTACATAATGGCATACAGCTCATTTTTGCAACTTCCTAGGCATTTGAAACTTGGCATACATAAAGGGTACAATTAGATTTTCATTTAATTATCTCTCGTTACAAGGTTAATAGATTTGACCAACCTCGTAACCATTTTGCACTCCTTATAGTTTCCATACTATAATTTTTAATACAGTAAGTGTATCTTCACAGAATTTGGGAGGCTTTTAGTAAGCATTGCAAGTCTTTTGTACACAAAAAAATTAGATTTTTTAATGAAGTGATTTTGCTAAAGATTTATCCGAAAATATATACTTTTTTTTTTTTTTACAAGTCCGATTGCAAATTGATTTCCACATTAAGATTAATAATACTTTTCTTCATCTCAAAAATATAAAATTTCATTTTTGTAACCTCCAGACCTCTTAAATATATTTCAAACATTATTTTTTTTCAGTAAAACTTTATATTTTGTTTGTTATTTTCTCTACCCTAACTCTATTATGAGTCTACACAAGGTTGGTCAACTTGATTGACCTTGTAACCACCAAAATAAAAATCTAGATTACCCTTTTTTTTTCTTTCTAAAATGACTTCAAATTGTAATATGAAACTACAGTTGCTTATCCTAAATAACTTTAAACTCATAACAGTGTACATCTATTTATACTTAGATTTTATTGTTTTATTGCACTTTGAATTATGTTATGCACAAGCTACTTGTGCATGTACCTCTTGAAAATTTTTTATTATATTCTTATTATCATTTATTTTACCTAATCTAACCTTAAATAACCTAAAAACTTTCCTATTTTTACATTTTAATTACTTTTATAATAATAAATAAAGATCACACATGAAAAACAAGAAATAGAATACTTACCTTGCCTTTTTTTTGTTGTCAACTGTCGATGACACTTAACCCTACTTTTTAGACTAATGGTAGTACTTCACTAAATAATTTTTGTTTAATTAAATAATCCAACAAAGAACAGAATAATAACATGCAAAAAGCAGACAATGTTCCATAACTATTACAATTTTTCTGGCTTTCTAACTATGCAACAAAAATTCATCTATGCTCGTTGATATGTTTCTTATGGGAATAAAGCTTGACCTGAAAGTGAAATTGACAATTCTCTGTACAATGTAATATAATATGTCATTTGATATAGTAAAAACTTGGTTTTCTATTGGTTATAAATAATAGAGCATCGAACTTCAGAGAGAACTATTAGCAATTTCTGAAAGAGATGACTGTAACCAAAAAAGATTGAAAGCTATAAAGATTATGCTTTGCCTGAGTGATGGCAATATTATAATGATTAATTTACATTAAATTTCCTACTTTTTGGAGAAATGGTAAATAAATTAGAGATGAGGGGATGCCTAAAGAAAAAATGTCACAATTTTCATACTAGGGGAAATTCAGGATTTTTTTTAATATTACCTTATAAAATTAAAAACTTAAAACTTGTATGCTATTAAAATATGGATTATTATCTATGTTTTTATGCTATTTTTATTGGTATACCATGAAAAGAAAGTAGTTTAATTAAATTTTGAATATAACTCACTAAAACCATGTGACATGTTCAGAAAAAGATTCCCATGAGGAAAGGGTAATATTGTATAAAATTTGATTTAAAACATTGCTTTTACAGTCTTGAATGTTTTCATATATTCATGTATTCAGTGTTTTCATTTGATATCTTGTAGATATCACAGATTAAAATAAGTTTACTTATTAAGATTTTTATTTCAATATTTAAACTTTATTTCATCCTATATTTACTAGGTTTGTTGAAAAAGGCAATTTGGAAGTGCTTCTCTTTACTCTCCAAAGTAAAATGAGAGCAAATAACCAGAAACCTTATTTTCCCAAAGAAGGGAAGATGATTTCAGACATAAATAAAGCTTGGGAAAGCTTAGAAAGAGCAGAGCATGAACGAGAACTTGCTTTGAGAGAAGAACTTATTAGGTAAGCAATATTAATATTAAAATTTGTTGTTGTATTATTATGATTTTTGAGATCAAGATTTTGTCAGCGAACAAATTAGTAATCATGTTGAAGTTGTGATGAAAGCTTAAATTTTTATTGTCATTTTCTGTCAAAATATTGACTTTGAATTGATGTCATTTCCAAAACTTTATCCTTATGGAACTAAACATGGGGAAAAACCAAGGTACTTGCATTTACAGTTGTTTATTTTCATAATGATGTAGTTAATGTAATATTATATATTTGTATATGTTTTACATTGTAGAGGTATAGGTAGTATAAACACTGGACAATATTTGTTCAGTTTTTCTTTTTTGCTTAATGAATAAATATTTTGTGGTAAATTGAGAATTTGTTTTGAAGAAATATTTAGAAATGGATTTGTAAAACATGATGAGTTTTGACCTTTGCAATCCCATTTACACTTTAATTAATGTTTATAGTTATTTAGGTAGAAGCCTGTTTAAATAAATAGTTTTTAATGACACTCCTTTTCTTGATTTTTGCCCTAAAGTTAAACTTGTTCTATATGGTAAATTTAAAAAAACTTCTATTATTGGCTCAGTTACTGTGTTTGATAATGTTGATGTAATGTTTATAGAAATAATCATTTTATTTGTTTTCTTTACACAAACTTAATAAATAATTTGAAAAGAAACTAAAAAATTTAAACCAATAAAATTCAGTGAATTTCATGATAATACTCCTGAATTGTAACCAGTTAATATCGCACTGTTTTATACATATGTTCTTCATTGTGAAGGTGTCCAAATGCACTTAATCTTAGGTTTATGAAAAAGTTGGTACATTTTCTTTCAATATTTAGACAGGAGAAACTGGAGCAGTTAGCAGCTCGTTTTGATAGAAAGGCTGGCATGAGGGAAACTTGGTTGAGTGAGAACCAGAGATTGGTGTCTCAAGATAACTTTGGTTTTGATCTTGCATCAGTAGAAGCGGCAGCTAAGAAACATGAAGCTATTGAGACAGATATTTATGCTTATGAAGAGAGAGTACAGGCTGTTGTGTCTGTAGCTAAAGAGCTGGAATCTGAAAATTATAATGATATTGAAAGAATTAATGCAAGGTAAAAGAACAGTATTTTTTTTTCCACATATGTGCATGAAAAAAATCTTAAATTGTAGTGGTAAAAGCTGTAACAATAAGGTATTGATATGTTAGACTTGTAGTTTTTAAATATATAGATAATTTCTATACATTGTGTTAGCTTGTTATTATTGTTTATTGAATTGATAGTTTTATCCAAGTATAGATACTTACAGAAAATGAACAAGTTTGAGCAAGTAAATAATGAATTGTGTGTGAATAAACAGACAATGAAAAAACAGCACATTAATAGAAGTTGCCACATAATCTAGCCCAGGGTATTAGTTTAAAATTCACATAAGTTTGTGTCATATTCTTTCTAGCTGGACCAAGCAGAGCCTGCCAAATGATATTGAGTATATATACACACACACATGCCATCTAAACATTTACTCTTTATTGTATATTGTTTAGAATACCTGTGGTGAATGTTGATTAATTAGTTGAAGGTACTTGAGAGTTTTTATTGTTTAGAATACCTGTGGTGAATGTTGATTAATTAGTTGAAGGTACTTGAGAGTTTTTATTGTTTAGAATACCTGTGGTGAATGTTGATTAATTAGTTGAAGGTACTTGAGATTTTTTATTGTTTAAAATCTATTTTTATTTCACATGAATCACTAACTTTTTGATTTTTCTCTATTTATGCTCAAAAGTAGCTGAATAAAACTGTTAGGCTCACTGTAAATTAATTGCAAAGCTAAGCTGTATATTGTAAATACCTTATTAAGTTTTCTCCATCTTTTTGTGATGAATGTTATGAAGTTTTATATTTATATTGCCATAATACTGGTCATACAGTATACATATGAACTAGATAAAATTGGATATTTGCTTATGACTCTACTGGACAAATAACTGTTTTAATTTTCAGAAAAGACAATGTGCTGCGTTTATGGAACTATCTATTGGAATTACTAAGAGCACGTCGAACCAGACTTGAACTCTCACTTTCTGTACAACAAGCTTTCCAAGAGATGATCTACATTTTAGATTCAATGGAGGAAATTAAGGTAAAGAAAACACCTTTAATTGTGTTGAAGTAGAGAAGAAAAGGAAATATCTGATTTTAAATTTCAGAAAAAATCATAAAAGTGTTTAAAAAAAACTGGTTCAGAATGCACATTGTAAGAAATGTATTTTTTTATAAACAATATTTTTGTTTTCTTTATATTGGGATGTTAGAAAATCAGTCATTTATGTATGACATTTTATGTAGGCACGACTTTTGACTGATGACTATGGAAAGCATTTGTTAGGAGTTGAAGACTTGCTTCAGAAACACAGTCTCATTGAGGCTGATATCAATGTTTTAGGTGAAAGGGTGAAGACTGTAATACAACATGCTGACAATTACATTTCACAAGAGTTTGAAGGATATCAAGCATGCAGTCCACAGATTATTCAGGAACGAGAACAGCAGCTTGAAGCTGCATATTCTGAACTGGTGCAGTTAGCTCTTGATCGACGCAGCAAGTTAGAGGAGTCTCGCAAGTTATGGCAGTTTTACTGGGATGTAACTGATGAGGAGTCATGGATTAAAGAAAAGGAACAAATTTTATCACAGGGAGATATTGGACATGATCTCACCACTGTACAACTTCTCATCAGTAAAAACAAAGTTAGTCTAATTTTTATGCATTTATCTTAGCCAGGATAAATGTATGATAATGAAAACAATGTATTTTTAATAATTTATTTTGTAATGAAGTATAGGCTTTGTCATATTGTAAGAATAATCATATTTTTAAATTTATAAATTTTTGGAATTACCACGATTAAACTTATTATAAAATCACATTAACCTTTTGTGATTGTTATGAACATATGTTAAAATTGTTTTAATTGTATAGACTTTATTTGGTTTATATGTTGTTTTTTACTTTTTGCTTTAATTTCATAAACAATATTACTGCCAAGATTAGGAGGAATTTCTTTTAAAAAACTTTCTATAATTCTGGTTGACTAATTTCAAAGGCATCAAGTCACCCATGATTTGGTATTTTAACTTATAAACTTACAGTAAGAAAAAAGTTATATATTATCATAAGAAGTATATTACTCTAAGTGTTTCTGGATGGCTATTGAATAAAAACATTTAATGTCATTGCACAATTTTTTTCAAAGAACTGAGCTGTAATGGAGAATACACAATTATGTATTTAGGTAGTGTATATATTTTTTAATGTAAAGTTGCTCCCCTTGTCTTTTTTTTCACGTATTTATATGTATAGTTCTAAGCATCTAATAATGTTGGAATTCTGGAACTAACTGTTTTCCAAGAAAGCAAGTAGTGAAAACTAGCAATTAAAATTCACAACTAAAGTGTTTGTATGTTGTAGGAGTGTGTCTTCACTTATGTTAATGCATTTCATTATTATGTCTTTGAACTGCAAAAATCATAATTACGCATAGCTTGGTTTTAGCTTTTTAAAAACCAAGTAGAATATTTTAAGATATCAGCCTGTTTTAAAAGAAAGACTATAAACATGATGCTTTTTATTGTATTTTAGGCTTTAGAAGATGAGATATTAGTCCATGAACAACACCTATATGAAATCATGAAAGTAGGGGAAGACCTTATTCAAGCAGGTCACTTTGGTGCAGAGAATATCAGAGAGCGAATTGACTCTGTGCAGAATATGTGGAAAAATCTTAAGGACCTGTTAGCAGCACGTATCAAGAGGCTCGAAGAGGCTATTAGTTATCATCAGGTAATTGGTTTTATTTTTTGTTCTGTTGTCCTATTTAATTGTTCTCTTTATATTGTATTTGCTCCCAAAGAAGGTGCAAGGTTTTGGTTAACAGAACAATTTAGGTTTGTGTTGTTGCTGTAGAAAAAGGTACATTACATTATGAAAAAGAGATGTTGTATATTTATTTATCTTTTATTTTGTTTAATAAATCCTTAAGATAAGCAAAAACTTAGTTAATAGTAACTTTTCAGGAGCATTCAAGTGGTATTGTATAGAACCTAGGTCTAGTTAAGATTAGTTTTTGAATTTATTTTGTAACTTAACATAAGGAAAAATTTTGATTAAGCATTAACAATTAATACCCTTTTTATTGATATATTACATATTTTTATATGTTTCAAACCATCATATGGTCAAGGAGGATCTTCAGTACTTATCTAGCAATAGCAGGGTAAAATACTACCTATACTTATACCTGTTACAAACAGAATGAGAGAACGCAAGTTTACGATTTGAAAAAAAAAGGCCAGATTTCAGTTAAAACAGTTTTATTTTAATAACAATGCTGTCAGCAGTGGAGGAGATCAGCACTTTTCAAGAATTTAATAGGGTAATAAATGATTTTCGGAAAACATAAATAGTAGGATTTTTAATGGTGAACATGTAAGGAAAGCCTTGAAGAACCAAATGGTCTTTATAATTGTCATAAAGTTTTTCATTAAAACAGACATTTAATGAAGTTCCCCTTCTCATTTGCTAGTGGTGCCAAGCCAGCCCCCAAAACAAGACTTAAAAATGGATATATAAAGTTCTATATTTTTTTTGCTGCTTACATTGAAAACTGAGAGATCAGAACTACATTAAATGTAAATCAGTTATGGATGGAATCTGGAAAATACTAGAACTGAATGTAATCAGCTACAAAGCAAACATATTTAGTAGAAATACCAAGATGATCATATCTCAGTTGATGGCAGAAAAAAAAAATGTTTCTGAGAAGTATTTTTCTGTTCAAATTGTTTGACAAAAATGCATGAAGAGCTGAAGATCAATGAAAATAGCAAAAAATTACAAGCTGTATTTTTGTAAAAAAGAAATCTAAAACTTGAAATAACTACGTCTAGGTTAACATGTTGGAATGTAAAAAATTTAGAATGTTTTTGAACTGTTAGTTTACCCAAATGAAACATAAAAAATTGGCTTTTTCTGGTATGTTGCAAGATGTTTGTATTTATGGCTTGTTTATCCAGATGTTATTCTTATCATAAAAAATACATGTATCAAGATATGAGTGTGTGTGTTTTTGAGATTTTCTAAATATCTTTTGTCAATTCATATAGATATATTTGCACTCAGGGAATCACATTCTCCATCAGTGTAAATATGTCTACGTAGAGTATAAATGTTGTGAAAGGTAGATCAAGGTTATTTTGGAAATTTAGATCAGTCAGCACTGCTTAAATGCAATTAGTAATTGTGTGTAGTAAAGTAGTTGCTTATCTCTTCTTGTCTTCATTATATTTTTACTGAATCTTTATCAATGATGGGAAAAACAAAATGAATTTAAAAACATTTACCTGTCCAGCTGTAAATTTTTATAAAATACTGTCATAAAAGTCTTAACTACTTAAAACAAAAGTTAGAACTGGTAGATTAGATCAAGATTTTTACACATAATATCTGAATTATATTTTTTGCTATAAGTGGTATAATCAAGATTTTTGTAACAGTTTTTTGCAGATGCAGATGATATTGACACATGGATGCTGGATACACTCAGGCTTGTGTCTAGTGAAGATGTGGGAAGAGATGAAGCTAATGTACAATCTCTTTTGAAGAAACATAAGGTATGACCAGTCTCATTCACTCTTGTAACTTGATAAGTAGTTTATAATGTTAATATTTTCATCAAAAACAGTTTTCACTGTTTTGGTACTGTCTAATTCAAAGTTTGATAATGATAGTAGTTTTAATGGATTGATCACATTCATGAAATTATTGAATGAATATTTAACTTAAATGCCCAGGTGTGTAAATTCATTGCACAGGTTTGTTTTATTGCATTGGATCAATACACATTATAATTTTTTTTTGTTGCAATGGAAAAACAAAAACCTGCTGGATGAAAGTTTGAATCTTGAGATTAACTTTCTCCAGATTATGTGAATTCTGCAAAATAATATATTTTTGTAACGGATAATAATATGAATTTCCAGCCTTGGAAATTTGGAAAGATATCATTTTAATGCGTTTTTTTTTTTAAGAAACAAAAATGCTTACCTTGTTGTAGATTTCAATTACTATTTTTATGTCTTCCTACATTCTCTTAAAACTTTCCAATAAAGTTTTTATTTTATAAAATTAAATTTTATATTTGTTTTGATTCAAAATATACTGTATGCAGTTTCATTGTGTTTATAATAACTAGTGTAAAATAAAAATATAAATTATAGGCAAGACAGTTGTTTTAAATTATTCATCAGAAGGTTTCATTTAATACTTGTAATAACTTTCAACCTTTTTTATACCAAATTATATATATATTTACATTTCTTTTTGATGACATTTCTCTACCCATTCAAGGAGTTACTTAGGTCATTAAGGTTATTGTATACACAGCTTAACAAACAGGGGCTGTATTGGTAAAACAAAACTTAATACAAGTGAGTAAAAAATGATTTAAATAAGCCTAACAATACTCTACTTTATCTTGCCCCATGAAAAACATTTCCTATTGTACTGCAACATCATTGTTTAAATGAAGTATAATATGATGAAGTGAAATTTTCACAAGCTTTTAAAGATAAAAAAGTCAGGACTGTAATTGTGAAAAAAGTTGTTCACAAACAATTTTTATTTTAGAAAAATATCAACAAGCTAAGCTTTTATCATTTTGTTCTCATCTCTTGGTGACTTTCTTCTGAACTGGAAGTCATATTGGTTTATACAGTTCAAAAGAACAGAGAAAGAGCTTTTATTATGTGTCTAGATCACTAGCCTGTGGTTTCTGAAAGATGAAATACAGGTAACTATACCACATTATGACAACAAAAATTGAGAAATAGTGATTGGTTAAAATCTATAAAACTGCACATGTATTGAAGTTACAAGGTACATGTTAATTCTATCTTGTTAAAAACTATATTGACTTTCCTTCTAGGAGCTATGTGTGTCATATTATGCTCAGAAAAAATTAATGTAATTCACAAACACTGATCTTTTTTTTTTGTTTGGTGTGCAATGAAATCTAACCAATTTCAAAGTATGAGATTATAAAAACCGTTTGTATATAATTCAATAAAGGAAACATTTTTATTAAATAAATTTCAACTCTGAAATAATTTCTTTAGTTGTTTGGAAGAACAGTTACTAGTTTATTTTCTGTAATTTTCAGTCTGTGGTGCAATTTGGTCCTTAGGCAATGGGTGCACTCCACAGAATGTCAGAGAGTTAAATTACAGTGTGGAAGGATTGACAGTGTTATATACAAAAAACAAAAATTTTGACAAAAGTTTTAGTATGTATTTAACACATTCTATGGGGTTGGTATTAGTGATGACACTATTTTTAAATATTTAATACTTTAATACTTTGTTGTTTTTTTCATTAATTGCCTGAATATCTATAACTTACATTGTTATTTTTTTCCCAAAAGGATGTTACTGATGACCTGAAGAACTTTGCTAATACTATTGATTCTCTACATCAACAAGCTTCTAGTTTGGGTGAACAGGTTGGTTGTTTTCATCTTGATTATTACAGACTCTTGTTGTTGTTTTTTATTATGCTGTAGCCCATGTTTATGAGCGAGGGAAACCAGGAAAAGTCAGTGAATTCCATGTGATTCAGTGATGCTTCTAGGACATGAATGGCAAATAAATAAATCACCATTAGTACCAAAAAACCATATACAGGCTAATTCTGCCACATTTAACACTGCAATATGTGTATTTTATGCATAAACATTGTTTATCTATATCAGCCTTTTGTTTACCATTTAATTGTAATGCAGTAGGAAGGTAACTGCAACAGATTACTTAAACAATAACTAGGTTCCCTCTTAACTCTCCCAACATGAGCTTGGTCAATTTGACTGACCACGTAACCTCTTTGTACTTGATTAAAGTCTTCTAACTTTCAATATAGTGTGTATATCTTCAAAAATTTGGCACTCTTTTAATTCATATTACATGTTTTTCACATACAAAAAAATCATATTTTTAATGAATTATTTTTAATAAAATAAGGATTTGTCCATTAATATATTGAGTATTTGTTTTGAATAGTCCGTGTGCAAAGTAATTTTCCTGTTAAAATTAAAAATACTTTTCCTCATCTCAAAAATCTCAAATGTCCTTTGTGTAATCCCCAAAACCTCCTCAATGCATTTCAAACGTTTTTTTCAGTAAAACTTTTTAGTTTATGTGTTATTTTCTCTACCCTATCTCAATATGCGATTGTCTTTTTGACCGACCACGTAACCACTAAATAAATCTAAATTACCATTTTTTTCTTTCTAGAATGACTTAAAATTGTAACATGAAACTACATTCGTTTATCCCAAGTAGCTTTAAACTTTTAACAGTATACATCTATTTATAATTAAATTTTTTATTTTATTGCCCTTTGAACTGTGTCTAACTACTATTCATGCCATTATAAGTTGTAAATCACTTGGGGAATGTGGAGGTCACATTACTCTATCGAATTATGTTACGCACGAGCAGCTCATGAAACATTTTTATTATTATTATAATTTATCTTACCTAATCTAACCTTAACTAACTTAAAGAGATCCGTATTTTTACATTTTAGTTACTTTTATAATAATAAATACAGAATAAACATGAAAAACAAGAAATAAAGCACATTTTCTTTTCACTTGCTGTCAGTTGTCAATGACACTTAACCCTACTTTTTTATATTAACGGTAGTAATACACTAGATTTTTATTTAATTAAATAATGCACCAAAGAACATAGAATAGTAACATGCAAAAAGTAGACAATTTCTTCTAACTCTCAGAATTTTTCTGGCTTTCTAGCTATGAGACAAGAGCTGTTACAAATTCATCCAAGCTAGTCATTATCTTTCCTGTGGGAATGAAGCTTGTACTTACAGTGAAATTGACAATTCTCTGTTCAGAAAACAATGTAATACAAAACGTTATTTGATAGATAAAAACCTTGGTTTTCTATTGGTTATACATAATATAGTATTAAGAGTAAAAGAAAACTTAATAAATCCTGAAAGAGAGGATGTGAAAGGTGGGTGTGGCAAGAGGGGGCTGATTTTCTATTTGGTAGCTCTGTAGCCAAACAAAATTGAAGGCTATAAAAATTATGACTTCTCTGAGCAACGATAATTTTATAGTGAGTAAATTACGTTT